TGTGTGTGTGTGTGTGTGTATGTGTGTGTGTGTGTGTGTGTGTGTGTGTGTGTGTGTGTGTGTGTTATGATGAGCTTGTATTGTTAGTTTCAGCGTCTGTGGTGAAATGGTTACCTTCTTTGTCGTTTTCCCGTGGAAGACGGGGGTTCGATTCTCGTGTCGGGATCTCCGCCTGTATTCCTCTTTGCCCGCGTTAGCCCTGTCTAGCTGGGTCGATGCAACCTGCCTCTTAAAGGATCGAAATTGCGACAATAATTAGAAAGGATATGTGGTGGGTGCTTGGAGAGCGCTACTAGAAGGTCCCACTTTTCCTCTGTTCCCGTTTGCTGTTAGCATCTCTCGATGTTGCATTTTACCCAATGGCTGCTGTCGTTTCGGCGTGTTACTCATTTACCAAAACTATAAAAGATTTAATGAGTTTTTTCTCGTACGGAGGAACTGTGCGGCTTACTTAAAGTTTTTGTTGAAATTTTAGTAAGAGTATTAATGCTATTGCAGCACCGTAAGGTCATATAAGCGCTGACTATTTAAGAGTCAGAACGTTAATTTTTCTTTGTGTGTGTGGCCATGTTGCGTTCGATGTAATTCAAATACTTTTTTTAAATTGGCGGATTGGATGGTTGGAAGGCACCAATTGTTTGGGCTTGTTTCTTATCTTTCCCCCTCTGTTGTTCCTGTCTTCTTTGCTTTATCCCCAGCTCTTAATGACCGTTATTGTGCCTGTGTGGTTCTCTTTTCTCAAACACACGCAAAAGCAAAAAATGCAATAACATTGTCATAGTCGTTTGATCTTACGCTGTGATTTCCAAATAGATTAAATCCGATTCATTTTTACGTCGTTTTGCATGACTAGTGAGTGGGTGGACTAGGGCGCCACCGGTCGATTCTATTTCCTTTTTTTTCTCCCTCTTTAAATGTTTTGTTTATATCTGTCTATCTTAACTTTTTTCTTCTAGCACTTAAGTTATGATTATTGTGTCGACGTGCTTGTCTTTACTCAAACCAAACAATTTAAGCGTGACTTGAAAATTGACTTGAGATAAGACAGTGTAGTGTCCTAGTTCACACTCAATCTTATCAGTTTTTCACGTCACACTGTGTGATGAATTAAATACCATTCGGTAACTCCCAGCCGGTATGTGTGGAACTTATTGAATGTAATATCAATCTTCTTTTATATTTATATATATAGACATATCTAAGATTCAATTGCTGTCTTAGAACCAGATTCCCCTGAATTTCAAAGTGAAATGTATTACTGTGATGTGACGATGTCGTGAAGGCAGTTTTAAACGTTTTCCTTCAATTACAAGCAAATGTATTGTGTCAAGGGTCAACTTATTGAGCGTATGGGAAATGATAATGTGCTTGTGTTCTGTGTATGCTGGATGGTTTCTTATCCCTCGATAGTGAAGTGTGTGTTCTTAGATGACAGTGTGTGCGAGAGGTTGATCGGTATACCGTGCGCTAATGGGGTCGGTTCCTTGTTCTACGATCTGTTCAGTATTTGTTGTTTTTTAAATGTTTCTTCCTAGTTATATTATGTGGGGTTGTTTTTTTTTTGTTTTGTTGTTGTTTGCAGACTCGCCAGAAATGCTCACACATCGACTTTTGGCTAAATGTGTGAACTGTATTTTGCTTTTGATTTGATGCTTTTTCTGTAGGCTAGATGCTGCAGCTACTTTTTTTTGAGGGGGGGGGGGGGGGGGGGAGTTATTGTTTTTGTTTGTGCCCTTTTCTTTTACTAACAGGTTTGCAGTCATTTGAACTGCTATGGAAATGGGACTTAAACTGCGAAATGGGGTTTGCTGTTTGACGAAATCTGACACTGTACCGTTGACACTGACCTTTTTTTATATCTTAAAATTTTTTAAAAATTTGTTTTTGTGACTGGAATTGATAGAATGATTTGAAACATCTATAATTTCTATTTTGTAAAGCTACCTTATATTCCTTGTGCTGGTTGTGGGTGTCCTGTAGAATGCCAGTGTCCTATTGAAAGGTTTTTCTTTGCCATGGGAGCTTCTTTGTGAAGTTTTAAATGTTTCATTGACTGTATTCTGAAATTCTTTTGAACCATACATACTTTTCTCAATGCCGAGACCCTCTGCTCTTAGTACAAGTCCCGAAATGTATTTGACTCTTAATTTCTTGGATCTTGTGCTGAATTATTGAAACTAGTAAATTGACTATTTGCTCTTTAATAGTGGATATCAGAGTCCTTGCTCGTGATGATATGTTTCAGAAATTTGATGCTAAAAGTATTTTAAAAATATATGAATATTAAAGTTAAAGTCTTTTCTATGCCATACTGTTGTATTCTGCAAACTTAGATAGAGTTGAAAGTAAAATGTGCACCTGTCATGTCTTTCCATTGGAACAGGTGGAGGATGGTGATGACATTTTGGCTGACTTCAAGGCCAACAGTAAGTGTCGCTTGGGTTTGTATGGTATATGCTTTTGTGAGTGCACCGCATATAGCTTGTGCGGTTCTGAATTTTGTAATGGGTCTCATAACTATTTAAGGGGTGGTTCGCAGATGCTCTGGTGTGGTTTGGCCCTTCTTCCCTATCTAATCTATCTCTCCTCCTTCCTTTTTTGTGTTTGTTACTCCCTTGTATCACTTGTAATCTTCGGCACATACATGATTTAATTTTGTCGCAATTTCAGTAAGAGGCTTGCTTAAACATATAAAACGAACTCTTATAAGAGTGTGAAATTTCTAGCTCTCTTCTAGTGTCACTTCTAGACCAACAGATGACCTTGGTTGGTTTTCATGGTGAGCAGTTAGAAGTTACACTTCTATTCTTAGGAGGCTAACCTTTTTGGATTGTTGATTGAGAAGCAGGGTTATCTTCATTTCTCACAGCTTACATGGGAACAAAATTTTCTGCTTCAGAGTAAATTTTAATTCCATCTCCTCATTGGACACGTTTTGGGCTGATTCAGGTTCAATACCCAGCCATTTATTTTGTTCCTAATGGAGCAGAGAGTTCCTCCCTAGTCTGGGCCAATTGTGTTTTTTTTTTTTTCCTTTATTGGTGAAGTAGTTCCTAAATATTGATATTAGTGCTTATGGACAGTTTTTGTTAAGTCCTTTTTCTTTTAGGTATTGTCTGATTCAAGAGTCTGTTGTGTAATGGTTGCACTCTTTAATGCTGTTTTAGAAAAATGTGAGTTGGATGCCACACACAGAAGTCTCTTTTATTTAGTATCTCTATTTCTTTCTGCTGGGATGCTGTAGTCCACTCAGCCTGGGTGACCCTGACAGGTAGGCTCAAAGTGGCTTGCCTCTTAGTTAATCTATATTGTGTTTATTGTGTTTATTGGGTTGGGGGTTGTAACAGATTTACTATCTATTTTTAGAAACAATAATGATTAAATATTATGTTTTTGTGTGAACAATAGATGATGATGATGATGATTATTATAGTATGTATCTAAAGTTGCTTTGGTTTTTGGGGTATTATTTGTTCTGGTTCAGGAGGTGTATAAATCCAATCCCTGTTCTCACGAGCATAAATGAAGAAAAAGTTTGTGTTGTAATATTGTTAGTATTTATGTTCTTGTTTTTTCATCAGGTAAAAGTGGATCCACTGAAAATTTGATCCGTGAAGTGGTTCAAATCCTCACATTCTTAACTGATCGGCTGGAAACAGTTGCCAGGTGAACTTTTCTTTATGAAGAATTATGTTTTATCTTTTATTGAAAGTCCATCAGACAATACTTTGAATCAAAGTTTGTAACCATTGTAAAATGGATTACTGAAGTTGTTTTTTAAAACTAGAATCTCACAGGTAAAGTTGCTGTTGTAGTGTGTCCGTACTTTTTTTTCTGATTCTCTTGTGTTCTAATCCTAATTTGTTCAAATGGAAATTGCGTTGTTTTTCAGGTGATTTACAATGAATCATGGGGGGTTGGAGAGCACCTCTGATAGGTTTTATTTCTTTACTCTTCCTCTGCCATTTCTGTCTATCGGTCTTGCTCTTTCCCTGTACAACATGACCCTTGTTCTTTCAATGCGCTTCTCATTACTTCAATAAAAAGAGTGAATCATGTATAAAATGCAGCAATAGTTCCTCAGTCCATTAGATGTAATGCAAGGGATGTTACTACTGTTGCCTTCTGGATAAGGTGTACTTTGTTATAATTTGAACTTCAACTTCTGGTAGGAGCAAATATACCTCTTGAGAGTGAAGAAAAATTATCAATTTAGTAAATATATTCTCTAGAAACTGAAATGTGTTCATTTCAATGGCTGGATGATTGCCAATTTGCCAGCCATTGATTTTAAGTCACTCTAGATGGACAAATAGATACTTCAAAGAAATGTCTAAGTTTAAACTTTTATAGTTCAAGAAATTGCACCATATATGGTTCGGCCCCCCCTCGATACAAGACCTGATAATTTCATCCATAGTCCATGTAACTTTGAGCTTACATAGAAGTGAAAATATTTATAGGGTCTAAGTCTACTACAAAGTTTGCTGTGAATGAACAGTAAAGTCTATTTGATCCTATTTTATCTTAATCTTTTATGTCACTTGCATCCTGTGTCTCTTTCTATGTACTATAATACATTATATGTCACAGAGTGATGATGAAAATAGCTGAAGTAGGAGAAATTGATTAATGCATGCACAGCTGTTATGTCAGAACAACCACGTTCCAGTGTGCGGGCTAAAATGTAGAGATAGTATTTGCATCATGAGCGGTTTGTGGATTTCCATTATGCATTTGCTGGAAGTTGTATTACGCAAATTGTTCTGTTTTTATGCCATAGTTCTTTGATTTTTTTGTCTTGTCCAGAGCTGAGTGAGGCCTGTGGGTCTTAGCCTTTTAAAAAGTTAAACTTTTTGTGCTCTCAAATTTATTTCAGTCAGTGACATGCTGCATGCTCACTGAATAATCTATCTAGCTGGCGTTTGTCATGAGGCAACTTGTTTTTAACCTTTATCTGGTTAAATTAGGAAGTCTCGTCTCTGAAATAACCTTATAGTGTAGAAAGAGGCAAGTCTTCCTTTCAATGCCTTGTCTGTCCATCTGTACTTTCCTGTTTGGTCTGCGATCATATCGATCTGATTTTTGTACTCTTTTAGATTTTGTCTGTTGCTTTTTATTCTCCCCCCCCCC